TGTGTGTGTGTGTGAGGGAGAGGGTGGATAAACAAAGAAGAAAAGAGTTTGCACATGGATATGCTTTAGAAAATACAGCATCTCATTTTACTATGCTGGCCAAAACCTCTGGGTAATCTATCAATATTTTATATTATTGACCACAAGGGACGGTGGCAAAGCCAGACACATAAGCAGCGATTATGAGTAAAATCTTCCATCCATACACTGTGCCCTGCAATGATGGAAGATATAACACAGGCTGGTAAAAAAAAACAAATTAGCCACCGTCTGTGTTCTGCAGAAGCCAAAGGTGTGGCAAACACAGACGTAGATTTGACAGCACTGTGCTGAACTGCTTGGAAGCTAAACATGCAAGTGTGCAACTAAAGCGATGACCTAAATATGTTGATTTACTCTTAATACGAAATGTACAATGCAACACAGTCAATTACCTAAATTAATTGTCACACTATAAAGCATTCCTCATAAAATGTTACAGTAGTAGTACCTCTACAGGAAAACAAGACATTTGATGGTTCCACCTTCTTAAATGGGGGAGTAATAATCATATGGGTTGAAATGTAAATCAGTGAATATTTGACATAAATTCCCTAATGTAATAGACAAATCAGTGTCTGTACTTCAAGGCAACACCTGGTTGCATTTATCAGACCAAGAAGATCTGGTAATAAGCAGGTAAACCCTGTGAATAAAACATGAAAATATGTGAAAAACATAAAATAAGACATATTTCACTGGTTGACTTGACTATTTGAAAGTGGCAAAGAGTTAAAGGAAGCCATGGCATGCTGACCCTCGTCTCCCTTCCTCATCTCTCCGCTGGTCATCGATCTGTTGGAGCTGGCGAAGAACATCCTTCAGGCCTCTGATCTTGGCCTTCTTCTCGTTCAGTACCATGACAAAACGTGAGTACAGCTCCCTCTCCAAAATCTCCTTATCCCGAACCTGCTGCTCCAGCCTGGAGAGAAAAACACACAGGCACCAATGTATGTGCACAAACACGCATGCTAGCAAATGGACTCCTACTGGTACATGGACACGCATGCAGACACAGGCAGACAAATACTTGTTTTGAAAGCAGAAGATTCTTGTTTTTTTGCTTTCTGACAGTAATTTGCTAATAAAAATGATACTGAAGCCTCCACCCTGCACAAACATGTCGTAAGTCTAGGAAAGAATAAGAGCAGATTAACAATAAAAAAAAAATGCTATTTGAAAAGAAGCACCAGGGATATATAAAATGAAGGACATAGAAGGGAATCATTTGAAGTTAGTTCTGAGAAATCACAAGCCCAGCCTGCAACACTGGGTGGAACCCACAATACTCTCGACTGGGCGACCAGTGCTGATGTCATAATGGGTGATTGCTGTGCATATAAACAGCTAGCTGTGTGACTTAAGAAGCAAAGAGAGCTTGCATGCAAACAAGACAATCAACAAACAAATAACAGCCCTGAACATCTTAAGAAAATTAGGATCTGTGGTATTTTCCGTTTGAACTTGACGTTTGCTCTCCAGCACATATTCTTTCATAAACACACAATATAATCCATCGGCACAAAACACATGGCTGCTTTCCTCCTCATTCTCACTCTCTGAGTATTCTCTGGTGCTCCTGTTTCAGTCGGCGGTTCTCCTCCAACAGCTTGCAGTTGTCTGACTCCAGATCAGTACTGTGCTTTAGGGACTGGCCAATCATCTCCCGGTTAAGCTGTAGAGGGTCTGGAGCTGGCTGGAGCTCCACAGAACCCAAGTGCACCTGAAGAAAGGAGGGAAAGACGAGTAGAAAAAGGAGAAGGAAAAAGAGAAAGTTAGTTCAAAAAAGACTATTACGTTTCAAAACTGCATAAACATTAGCTCATATTGAAGGCAATAACGTGCTCTCTGCAGGTTCATTACTCATGAACATTTTGCAAGCTCAGCAATGTGGGAAGACCTCAGAACTCAACAGTTTATCCTCTGCATTGACAGGTGACAGTTAAGATAGTTCATGAAACATGGTCAGCATAACCTCTGGGTTGCCTCCCTTTGAGTATGCCCGACTGGGAGGAGACAACAGGACAGATTTAAGACTACGTCTCCAAGATGCCCCTGGAGTACCTGGGGATCCTCTAGGAGAGGGTGGAGGAAGTTATCCAGGAAAAGCACATCTAGCACCACATGAGTAAGGAGCAAGAAAACTAAAGCAATGGATTTAGGGCAATAACGTGATGCCCTCATCTAAATCAGCTTCCGTGAAAAATGACTTTGCACCTTAATGTCATCCCAAGAAGCTCCGCAATATAGAGGTGCAACAAAACATTACATCACATTTTCTTTGAAGCAGGAGACTTTTTGTTTTCTTCTGTCTGGGAGAAATACAGGATGAATTCATTGGTCACCAGTAAACTATGCAAGTGAGCACACAGTTTCCTCTCTGTTGCTTCTTGTCGGTGACTATTTGGAATCACAGGCAGGCTTCAGATCTAATAAAACATTCCTCATTTGGTTTGCATTTTGGCAGTAAGTCACAGAGTAGGGCTGAGGCACTGCAGCGGGCAACAGACAGAAACAGAAATTTTCTTTTTCAACATTCTAGTTTATGTGTTAAATTTTCTAAATTCCACCACAGCCGTCCAATTTTAAATAGGCAGACTAGGACCAATTCTACAGCTAACAGTTACAATTAAACACAGAACATCTTGAGGCACAGAAACACCGTTCAACCTGGAGTTAGTGTCTGCCAATCAAAACTGCCACGTTAAGCATATTTTCAAATAGCTGCACAATCTTTGTTTGCCTGTTGCCTTGGTGAATCTCCCATGCACACACACAGAAGTACTGCTTGTGATGCACTGGGAAACCAGAAGGTGATGAGGTGCTAAATCTTCACTGGGCTGCGTTGGGGTCGCAGACCCACTGTAATAAAGCCACTATCTTCAAAAGCTCTCATAAAATACTTGTCATTTTTGTCCCGGACAGATGCTGTCCTGGCAGGTCACACAGCTGTTTTCCCCTCCACTGGTGAACCTGAACATGTTTCAGTGAGTGAACATTCGCTGCACATCGCTCTCACAGCTTCACGACCTTAGCCTACTTGTCCTCAATCTGTTCTTTGGTTCACGTTCTCCCAATGTTGTACTTTTTCCCCTCTCCTCCCTCTCACTCTTCAGCAATAATTTGTGCATTAAACTAAGAGCAATATTAACTCTATTACAATGTATGTTCTGCCATATCCTTTGTAACAACAGCAACAACAGCAGCTAAAATCACAATAACTAATAACTTTGGTGATCCCCTAAATTTAGCATCAGAGCAATTGTTTTACTGATCCAGTGAAATTGCTCAACATCTACAGACATATACATGTTGCAAGACTATGTATTCTAATGACTTTGGTTAGCCACTGACTTTTTAATTTTAGTGCCACCATAAGGTCAGAAGTTTAAGATTAAGATTACAGCTCTGAAGTCATCAACAATCCTAATATTAATTCATTTCATCTGATAAATATTATTACTTTTTGTTAATTAACTGTCCCCTGGCCTCCCGTCATTTTTCAAAAGTGGCCCCCGGTCAAAGCCAGTTCTCTTTAGTCTTTTTTGCATGTGGTCTTCTTCTTGTCCTCTTTTAGGGTCTTAAACACCACCAACATGATGCACATTACCCCCCTCTGCAATATCTGCAAAAGGCACGCTATGAGCACAGGGGCTCATGAGCGTCCCCAAAGTGCTTTTTGAGCATGAGATTAGAAAACCAATCGGGTTGCTAATCCAAAAATAGTCTTCGAAAACCCTGTTCAGTGAATTTATAGATGACTGACTGACCCCTAAAAGATAATGACTCCATTATCCAGTACCATACAATTATATTAATATAGGTTAAGGAGATAATTCTGTAAAAATCTCTTTGCATAGTGACATGCTTATTCAGTACCTGTGCTGCCTATAGTGCCCAGTCTGATCATAACAAGGAAATGACTGATTTAACAAAAGTCAACTTAATAGGACCGGGACACAGAGGAGACCACCCAGGATCTAAAGAGGATGAGGTTCCCAGGAACTCATAAAAAATCTAGAGCAACATCAGGATGTCACAGTGATTCAGTGCAGGCTCCTCTTAGGGATTTAAAGGGAATTTATGTGACACTGAGCTTCACGAGTCTCAACAAGTTGACATAGCCATAATTCAGTCTTCAGTGTGCAAGATGGTTCACCATTAATAGGAAATGGTGAGAGTAGTGTTTGAATAAGCTCAGTAAGAGTGACTTATGTTTGACTTCTGTTGTGAATTTGAATCTTTCCTCAAACCTCACTTCCACCTCCTCTTCAAACTCCTCTTCTACCTCTTGCTACCTGTGCCTAAATCTCCTCTAGAGTAAAGTCATTTAGCAGTAAATCAGCCTTGTGAGAAAGGATAATGTGAAGGCTTTGGACTCTGACATGCTGAGTACACTAATATTTCCACACTTCAAAGAATGTTGTAATGTCCTACATTTACTGTACAAGTCTCACTCCATTATAATGACTGGGATTTTGTCAAACTTTGTCATCAAAGTCTTACCCACTGACACCATTTAAGACCATAAATCTTCCAGACCAGCATGTTAACATGGTATTACCAGTTTAAGACACCAGATACAGAGATATAAACTGCTGAAAGCACAACCCTTATTTACTGGATTAACATTGGAAATGACACTCAGCTGCTGTTTATTTCTTCTTTAAATACCAAAGGTTGTGTGTTTAACTGTCTTTACTTTCAGGGCTTCTGAGTAGACATACTGTTGTAAACATGTGAATTCCAGATCACCAAAGGTTTACCTTTAGCTTACTGTGCAGCATAGACAGCGGAAGGATGCGCTAAACAAGATACAAATCTGAAAATGTAAGCAAGTGGCATGCTTATTTTTTTTTTTTACATATCAGTGATAGATAGTAATGAATGTTTTTTTTTAAATGTTTTAAGTCCCTTGTTGAAAGACAGAAAGGAGCTAAAAAGCTCCCTTTATTTTCTTGAGCTTCTGCTTCTCTCCTGAGACAGAGATAAAGTTAAAGGTCAGCCTGCACGCTGCTGCCAGCCTCTGCCAAGGTGTGGGAGGTCAGACTGTTTGTCTGTGAACCACGACCCACTGCCACATTTTTCTACTGTGTTACTTGACTAAAACAACAATAAAACAAGTAAATTGTTCATAGCTGTTGTTTCAGCCCCTAAGAACCTTTGACACATGCCTTTTATATGACAGGGTGGGCTAATTTATGACAATTAAAAGATAAATGCAGCTAACATGACAGGGCAAGAATAAAAGAAGATGAAAATTCTGCAAACCCTGAAAAATCCACTTCGGAAGGAAACATATGTGAACTGTATACAACATCATCAAAAGAGACAAATCAAACTGATTTAGCAAAATATGTGAATGTAAAATCTTGGTTTCAGGAGAAGTTTGTCCAACACTACAATATGGCCCAATGTGTGTGTGGTCTAACTGTTTGTTTGTGTGTGTGTCTCCAGACAGCTAGCCAGACCATAAGGTCGAACCCATGGAGCAGGGGGGACGTAGGTGAGGAGGACAAAGCCAAAAGAACACAATCCCAGTGAAAATGATACCATACCACACACTGTGGGCACAGAGGACACAAAGCTTTCCTTATCACACAGTCCAACACATTGTGGGAGACCAAACCCACCATTTATTCCCAAAGAGCACAGGACAATAACCCCCATTAATACATAAGCAGTAATCAATAATATTATAATAAATTGGCATCACTGACATTTTAAGATTAAATATCTCTGGTATATTCACTAATCTCATTAGCTAACAAACCTAATATTTTTACATATATTATTAATATTTTATTTCATTTGAGATGTATAGTGAATATGTCCGTGATCCAGTCCCCCTTTTCTGTTCTTTTTCTATTTCGAAATCATTATTGTGTCCAAGGGAACAGGGAAGTGAGTGGGTGAGCACTGTGTGCATGGTGACAAAGACACAGTGTTCAAGGGTGGGCAAGTGTGCTCAGTATGGGAAGTGTGGGCACTGAGCAGAGATCTCCCATCAGCTCTCTTGTCCGCCGTGCAGAGGCGTGAGGCCAGATAAAGAGCAGGAAGTGAGGGGCGACGGCAGCAGGTTCTTCCCCGATAACATAAATGTTCCCATAAACACAATCTAGGCAAGATGAGGCACAGAACCAACTTGAAAGCAGATAGTGGGGGGGGGGGACAGTTTAATACTGAATTTCAGTAGAGCAGTGGTTCTCAATCAACCTGGGGTCGTCAGGGTTCCCAGAAAAATAGGAAATGTTTTAAATTCACCATTATTTAATTGACTGGCTGTTATCCCAGTGAGAAAATGTATACAAATGACTATTCTGTTCATAGATTTCACATTCTTTACTGTTAATCTGCCAATCTACAGTAAAGACAGTTATTGAATAACTACATCTTATCAAACACAAAAAAGGTTGAGAACCACTGGTCTAGACTACTGGGCTCAGAGATGTTTGCAGCAAGGCAGAAATACATTATTAAGGTTCGCTCACATTAATATTGCAAACATCAACCGGATAGGCAGACTACAAATCAGTGACAAGCTACTGCGAGGTGGAACTTGCCGATGGGGACAGCAGGAGAGATGCGTCGGTGGGTCAGACTCTTCAGTGCGGTCAGGACACAAATCTGGCGGCCATTTGTTCTACAATTTCCCAGACATGAAAAGCCAAACATGTAACCAATTTGTCCTAATTTTTGCTTTTGATGTTTGGAGGATTGCGGATTTTATTTAATTTATTTTCCAAAAACCACAATAAAAGCATTTTGGTCACTTCATGGGATTGGAATTTGTAAAGGGTTTCGTCTGTGTTTCTGTTTTGGTCAATCGAAACATGACCACTGTTAAAATTAACGAATATCATTAAAAAGATCAGATGCCAGCAGATGGTGCTCCTTGGCATTAGCTTACAGATGATGTAAGCAGATGATGACAGTGAAAAATCACATAGGGGAGTCTCTATGTGTCAATGATTCCATAGTAGCCCTGAAAGGATAAGTCAAATTATCTAAATGTCAGGATTTGCTGCTTTTCTAAGTTTATATTTAATTGGAAATTATCTGTTGTTTTGACTGTTGGTCAGAACAAACAATTTGAAGACATTAGCTCTAAACCTACATGCCAGTGTCACAGCTTCTTCAATACAGAAATTAGTAGCTTCACAATTAATTGAGAATCAAAGGCTGAATATATTTACAATACTTCTGTTTTGTACAACCAGAAGGATGAATCCAGATGAAGGAACCTCTCGTCCTGTCATTTATCTCCAGTTTGTAGTTTTTCTAGTTTTTTTCAAACATATTATTACGGCAAATTATATGCACAGTGAACTAGACATCTTCATTTAAAACAGTGGAGAGGTATGCCATTAGATACACTGCTTGATGATGTTTGGTATAGGACACAAAAATAAAGAGAGAAAACACGAAAATCTGCCATCAACCATGGTGGGAAAGTTGCTAAGTTGCGAAAAGGAAGCAAAACAGGTCAACAAATGATAAAAGTTTCTTAAAAAGTTGCTAGGAAAGATATAGGTCACCTATTAATTTATTGTCATAATTGTACTGTGATGAAAAAATGTCTTTGTTTCTGGCTCATTATATCAATTCCTTTCTCATTTGGTAGATTGTATTTATTTTACAGTTTCACTTACTCACGCTGATACCTAATAGTGTAGAGTGCAGCTGTCAATAACGCTTGGTAATGATGGACAGACAGAGTAGCCGACATTTAGAGGATCTGCCAGCATTGTTTTGGTCTGCTGTATGGGAGCATTAAGCATATAGTGTTACCTGTGACAATGATGGAAAAAGAGACTGGTAGTAAAGAGCAATCCCTTCTCCCAGCATTTATGCTTTCCATGCAGATTAAGTCAGGACAAAATCCATAACTAAAGCACTGGGAGGGTTTACAGTAAAAGATATGCAGTCGTGCATGTGATTAATAATGTGCATTTTTATGTAAAAATACCAAAGGAGCATTTTTTGTTTATACTAATTACAAAATGTACAAATGTATTCTATTCCTTTAATTAAGATTTGGCAAACAAGTGTTTATGTTTCTTATGTTATTAGCCAGAATTTAGTTTAACATTTTTTTTTTTTTTTGCCAAATAAATGAAAACTATGTTGAAACTGGTAATGTCCCCACTGCACAAAAAAACGTACCAAAGCAAATGGAAAACTGTGACCCCCAAACTGTGAATCTGGTGAATCATTCCACCCCTAGTGCAAACACACTCACAAGCATGTTTTATAATTTCACACTGCCGAATAAGAAAACATGGACTACCCTAGTAAAATTTGTGGCTGGCGTCAAGGAATCCCCAGTGAACTATAACACAAGTTTTATTTAACAAACATAAAACATGGGACAATCAGTGTCACATTCATCCACTCCAGACTCATCCAGAATCATGTGGCTTCAAGTACCACAACTATCAAGAATTAGAGTCCCAGTCTCCACGGATCGAAGATGGTCTGAAGCAATAACTGAGCCGTACGTGCTACTCGGAGGCTTAATAACTTAACTTAATCGTTAATTAAAAAACAGGAAGCCGCTGGATAATTGATACAACATTTGTGTGGCCCTCACAGCACCACATAATGTAATAATGTTTCAAAAAACTTTGTATTAGGCAAAAGGAGAGGCAACAAAGGTAATAACTGAGTGGTGTTGAATTAAGTAAATCACACTAAAGTACTATAGAACAACTGTGTAATCAACTCATATCATTGAATTTACACTATTCAACAAAATATAAAGTTCAAAATAGTTTGTCATATTTGAGAGCCAAATCAAGGTAGTCCTAAACAGACGTACACGATCTGTTAATTCCACTGAAATGCTCCGATGTCCTTAATATGCAAGAACATACGTATCTGTATTGGCAAGTGTCGTCACTAGAATATTTATTTTTCCATCAATGACAGATTGGTACTTAAATACACATTAAGGAGCAGATATTGTCTGACTTAGCCATGTAAAACACCTGCTTAATAGTAGTTTTAACAGCCAACACCCAAATTACCTCCATCATTACAACTTCTGGTGTCATATTCATAAAATATTGTCAGGTTAAGTTCACCACCTGTTTTGTCTCTAACCTTCTTTCTTCTATTCCCAAAGGAAACTCGCCTAATTTTTGGTCATTTCTGCACCCTGAAATTATCTGCCTGGGAAAATATGTTCAACTTTTTAACCTCTGACATGTTTAAAAAAAAAAGGCAAACGAGGGAGAGCAAGCAAAAAAGGAAGAAAAGAAGCAGGTGTTAGACAAAAGTGGTAGTTTGCACTTAATGCAAACAGCCCCCCAGGATTCTTAGATTTGTGTCTACCACACACATACTGCACACAGCGATGATTACTGTGAGCAACAATGCGAGCATGGATTACATTTTTAAAAAGCACACTTGGGGCTGGACAGATTTAGGCCACTGTCAGTCACTTTGTGTGGTCTTGTTGCTCCTTTTGGCATCAACTTTTCTCTGTACAAAAAACAACACCACCTACACAAACAAGAGAGTGCATTTGCATCATGTTAAGAGCAGTGAAATTGTGTAATTTTGGAATACTGTTCATTAGATTAATTAATCTATTATTCAATTTTAAGTTCCAGTGTGTAGCATTTAGTATGTAACAAATGGAATATAATATTAATGTGTTCATGTTTATAATCACCTGAAAATAAGAATTGTTGTGTTTTTGATACCTTAGAGGGAGGGAGCAGGTTCTCATCTACAGATGAGTTTCTCCTTCATGCTTGGTTGAGTCAAGGGGTTTCAGTTGGTTGCAATCTGCAATCTCACTGCTAGATGCCACTAAATCCTACACACTGGTCCTAGAGTTCTTGCCATTAATAGAGATAA